CCATTCGCCAACGCCTCCAATTAAAAACGTATAAAATTCTTCACTCCGAAGCAGGTAGTCAGGGAGAGCCGGTTTATTTGGAGCAATTCTTTAATAACCATAATGTTTCTTTTTCAAACAATAATGACGACCGACGTTGATACGAGATCCGCCTTTCTGCGCATGTTGACGAAACAAACATGGCCACGTGCCAACGCGCGCTCACTGCACGCGCACATGTATCATTTTCGTGTAAATCTAGTTTCACTTGATGTTATTTAAAATTGCAGAGTGATACGTCAACGCTAGAAGAACAGACTATGGTGTATGTAATTTGACCAACATCGACGTTCCGGGTGTATGCTTCGACAGAAATTCTAGACCGTTGATTCGGTAAAAAGATATTTTAGGGAAAGTCCACTGAAACGTTTATGACCAAAGTTCTAACTCTTTACGACCTAACCTAACAGTGTCTTTATTAATATTCCAATAAACTAAGCGGTCAGACTCGATAGATTTGGGTGTCCTCGGTCCGTTTCATCTTGGTTGCGCGCTTTATATCCGGTGCATGGTACTTGATTTCTTTCAGACGCACTTCTCCGCACCGTTACACACCGATGGAGACACTAGTCTTTTGTTTTTTATTTGTCCACAATTAAACTGGTAGTTTTACGGAGATGAATATCTTTATAATTTATCGTTGACGTTATTATGGCTTTGGCCTTATTTATGATTAGTTTTACGAACCGTAGCCAAATTTTTATTGTCATAAATGTGCAGTTTTTAATTTTGATTTTCAATTTTAAGAAAATTAAAGAAAGAAAGAAAACTAGCTTAATATCGAATTTGAAATGGATCTGACAGCAAAAGGTCCTGGCAATGTTAGGATAGGGAAGTAGTGTTTATTATAGCTGCTAATATCGATTGTGTTATACAAGTACAAGTGATCATGGCACGATAACGGCACATAACATCCCATCCGCCTTCAGTACATTATCTCCCGGCCCGCTTCCGATACAAAATCTCCAGTCCGCCTTCATTACATAGTCTTCCGTCGGCCTTTAGTACATTATCAGCTGGCCCGCCTCTGGTACATCATCTCCCGGGCCGCCTCCTGTACATCATCTCCCGGTCGGCCTCCGGTACAAAGTCTCTTGTCCGTATCCGTTGCATAGTCTTCTGTCGGCCTTTAGTAGTACATAATCGCCCGTCCACCTCTGTTTCATAGTCTTCCGTCCACCTCCGCTTCATAGTTTCCTGTCCTTTTTCAGTATACATTAACAGCCGATCCGCCTCCGGTACATGATACCCTGGTCCGTCTCCAGCACATCGTCTCCCTGTCCGTAACCGGTACATAATCTCCCAGTCACATCCGGTACATTTGATGTCTCTGTCCATCTCAAATACTTCATATCCCGGTGTGTCTCCGTCACTTCGCATAGCCGCCACTTCCATTACATCATCTGCTGGTCCGCCTCCGGTCTGTTATCTCCCGGTCCGCCTCCGGTACATCATCTGCTGGTCCGCCTCCGGTAAATAATCTCCCGGTCCGCCTCCGGTACATCATCTCCCGGTCCGCCTCTGGTACATCATCTCCCGGTCCGCCTCCAGTACATCATCCCCGGTACATCATCTCCGGTACATCATCTCCCGGTCCGCCTCCAGTACATCATCCCCGATTCGCGTCCGGTACATCATCTCCCGGTCCGGTACATCATCCCCGGTCCGCCTCCGGTACATCATCTCCCAGTCCGCCTCCGGTACATCAACTCTCGATCCGCCTCCAGTACATCATCCCCCGGTCCGCCTCCGGTACATCATCTCCCTGTCCGCCTCCGGTACATCAACTCTCGATCCGCCTCCGTTACATCATCTCCGGTACATCATCTCCCGGTCTACCTCCGGTATATCATCTCCCGGTCCGCCTCCAGTACATCATCTCCCGGTCTACCTCCGGTACATCATCCCCCAGACTCATTTCGGTACGTCATCTGCTGGTTAGCCTCAGTTATATCATTTGCCGATTTGCTTCTAGCACATCGCGTTCGCCTTCAATTCTGCCTCCGGTACATCATCTCTCTGTCCGCCTCCGAAACGATTCCTGTACATAAGCTCTTGCTCGTATCCGGCACAGCACCTTCCAGTCAACCTTGTTGTCGTGTACTTTTACGCGTTTGACACAGCCACACAACCATTAGTAATCATTTATTTGTCGGCAAAAACAATTTAAATTTAACTTATTCAGACTGAAACAAAATTAAACGACTTTGTATATTATATTTGAACTTTAGATAGTAGTTGAATTCACCGGATGGCACGTGCAGACTGATGTTTGCTGCCCGGGGGGTACTGATGACAATTGTACCTGGCCCGGGGCTACTGACAATCCACGACCTACCCGGAATCACAGATGCACTCTATTCAATGTGTAAGTGGTATCTTACCGATAACCTGATCTAGACACACGCTTTGTAGTTAATCAGATGTTCGTTTTGTTTCAGTTTATACCATAAATATAAAACCGCATAGTGCATACCCGGAAGTGATGACACAACTGATACGTTACTCGTACTCTAGACTTAAGGTTTACTCATCCGTCCTTACTGGGAGCCAGCAGGTAGCAGTTGGTCTTCAATTCATAGATATAATTTCAATATTTTTCACATCAAGATTGTCATGTAAAGATTATCTAGTCCGGAAACGGTGTCTTAGACCGTTGCACAGAGCACAGCTGTAGTGGGTAAACAAATGGCGCTGTCATCACTCGGGCGCTAGTGTCACCTGAATTTATGTTTTCATTCAATTGAACATAACTTAAACGGAAAAGAGATTATATATATAAATTCTATTACAACATCTAAAGACCTGTTTGGTACAGCGATTGTATTCTATCGAATCATCAGTTGACAGTGGTGGTGGTGGTGGTGGTGGTGGCCTTTTAGACAATATATAAGATATGTCCAACATGAGGTGGCTTATAAGACACCATCTCTGCTGTTTTGTCTAAAGTCCTGTTGTGAAAGTCATTTTACAATCTAAGAATATATCTGTTGCTGATAGTTTCGCTACTTTTACACATTGTTTTGCCACGTGACATGACATACGTAATATTCTTAACCACGTGACATTAGCAGTAGCGTTTCTATAGTGACCACGTGACATATGCACTTCTTATTATTATTTTGCAGTATCATGAATTATCAATTTGGTAAAAACAAGTGTTAATAGCCCCCTGTAAAACTTTAAGTGTTATATTGTATATGTGATGACGTAAAGATGTCCGTATCACTACGCGCGCGATATTGACTTAACGACTACATAGTGATACCGTCAGGGCGCATTTCGGACGGTGACTGGCTATGCCCGGGCTCATTTAAATATTCTAATTCGATGTCGATCAAACGTCATTCTAAAACAATAATGTCCAAATTTTCAAGTTTTTCTTTCTTGGGAAAATCGGCCGTTATATTTGATTGTATAGTTAGAGATATTGTTGAAAATTTGAGAAATCAAGCACTTGTATGAGGGAATTCCCAATTACCGGCATTCAGATCCTATAAAGACAAAGCAACATGGATTATTTTCACAAAAAACACAAAATGTGCAAATAACAGACACCGAAGTATGAAAAAAATAATTGATGATTCAAATATAAAAACTATAATATAACATACTATGTATAGCATACTGAAAGAAACATTCCGCTTATATCTACCTGGATGGTCAAGTGTTTTGGGACTATTACATTACTAGTGTAGTACATAGCAATGCGATTGTGTTATAAAAGTGTGTAGAACTGTTAACTGTTTTATGTTTTATTGTGTCTAAAACACGCATTATATGACCTGATATTGAATGAAACTGTATTTTAATCTTCAAAACAGCTAATCTTTCCCTCCCCCACTTTTAAAAAAAATGCAGTTTTTTGTGTATAAAAAAAAAGCTCCTACCTAATCTCAGTTGTAAACTAGAATTGCTTCAGTGCCTATCACAAACACATTCGGAAATTGTAAGTTTTGAACGATATATCACATTTAGATGCGATTGGACTATAAATAAAGCATCAGCAAATATGATGTATTTGGAAACCGGGCTTTTTAAATTTTTAAAATGTAATAAAATAGAAAATGAAATGGTTTCCTGTTTAATAACAAATATACTTCATAAATAGCAGTTTGAAAATAAATTTTCTTTATTATTCACGCAATATCATATGTTTGTACATTATGTATATTTGCATATTAATCATGACAGATAATAAGTTCTGTTATTGTCACTTTCACACGTACAACGCATAAGTTCACATGATGTGCGAGTCGTACATAGGCTCGAACACCATTCAATGGCTATGTCACTAGACGCTATATTAAGCGTAAGCCAAATGGTTAGAACTGCACTTTTATACGTATAATCATATAAATACATTTTTGAAAGTTTTTACATTCGTGCGATATTGTTTACGCATAGTCACAAATTAAGGGTTAAGATCATAAACAATCGCTCCGAAGATCTTGGAATATCAATAAAAAATAGATTAAAAAGAAAGAGTAATCAGTAAATTTCTAACGGTTGAAATGCATGTAGTTTTATTCTCAGACGTGATGGATGATTTCTGTAATATCAAAGAAACTTAAAGACTAGATTTGACATTAAGCTATAGAAGAGGCGATACGATCTAGCTTAGTTGTGACACATTGGACAATGTGCCACTTCTCAACAAATTATTACAAAACTATATGAATTGCATTAACAGCAGGATGAGCGACGATATTCAGATACTAATCATCAGCGCATGCGTCGGCTCAGCAGTGTATCGCAGACCAAATACCGCGAAATGGAGAAAGTTTATATCGCCATGGTAACGCATCTATTGTCAAGACGGCGCACGGGCGGTTAAACAGCTGTTTCGTATCGAAGTGTTCACAGACCAGCACGGATAAAAGCTCGCTCAACTGTCATAGCATTTCATTTTCACATTAAAAATTACACCGGTACACATCCGTCAAGTTGGGTAACCGGGTATGACAGAGTTGACTGATGGGAGACCTTCAGGGGGAGGGGAAACAAGGCGGAGTACCCCCGGGGACGGCAATTCGGGTGTGGCTGCATCCACCGATGTTCCAGCTCAGGTCACCGCTGGGCCATACCCCGGGGATTTCAGCCTTAATTTTACCAGAAATATAGGCGATTACTTAAAGGTGGAGTTTTTACTGGAGGTACGTATATATTTTTAATTTATTTTCTTTCCAGTTTCACTTATTTTCAGAACAAAATACATTAACCAAATTTTATCAAAATTGTTTTCAATTGATTTGAAATATCAAAAATAAATCAAGAAAGATTTGATCAAAAAAATGTCGCAACGCATTTTATGAATTTATTCAATTTATTCAGTTAGTGTTTCTAAACTTGTAAATTCGAAGAAATTTAAGTGACGTATCATCTTTACAGAAACATACAAGAATATGTTTATATTTACAGAAAGATTAAAAATCGAGCAAAAAGGGTTTAGGGAAACGAAATATATATATATTTATAAAATAATAATTAATTATGTTTATAAAACAATACAGAAAAAATAACACAAATAACGAAGTCTTCGTTTAGCATTAGCGCTTTCAGTGTTCACCAGTACATCAGACTCCTGGTTGCGATATTTGGAACATTTTGAACACAACACCACAAATGTAAACATAGTAAACAGGATATTTACATATGTACAAAAGTCACATTGGTCACAGGAGAATGAACAAACTGTCATATATCTGATCGGCGCTTACTTGCCTCTATCAGATACTTTCCAAGATTACATATTCTTTAGTATTCGGTGTATTAAGTAATTGAACAAGCTTATATACACTAGGGTAATTTCTATAGTAACATTTTAACTACTTCCGTCTTAAATCTGTATATCTTGTGCAAACTAAAACAAAATGAAACTCGTCTTCTATGTCATTAAGATTACACTTTGTACATAATCTATTAGTTCTAACAGTGCCAACATAACGCCCAGATTCAATGTTTAATTTGTGAGGTGACAGCCTAAGTCGAGCAATTTCTTTCATATAACCGATATTAACTGATTTTGTTAGATACGATTGCAGTAAAATTGTATTGTTTAATTCTCTGTAAAGCATACCTTTAGATATACCTGTAGTTAAACTTAGTTAAAAAATGTCAAATAATCTTGCCTTAATAATTAAAAAAGTGAAATTGTTTCCATTCTGAGTGTCCCAGATATATCCTAAGCCTAAACGATACAATTCATCTTTTATTTCACGGATTCTTGATTATCAGCATATTTTCATAACAGGATTTCAAAATAAAGTGTTCGGTATTGAGCAATTTAAACCAATATTTAAATATTTTAAGTTTCCTTGTAACATGCAATGGATAACGGCCTAATTCGAAATATACCATCATATTCGGAGTGGATTCGTGCACACCTAGCAACCTTTTACAAAAATCTACAAGTAGTTTTTCGATGTCGGGGCCTTTATGGAATCCCCATACTTCTGATCCGTAGTTGACTATACTACTGACATAAGTATCAAACACTACTAATTGAGTCTCAATATTAAAATACTGTTTTTTACATACACCCAATAATGCAAACAAAGCTTTTCCAACTTGATAACTAAATCATCGGAGTTTTATTTACTAAGATAAAAAAGAGATTTGGCCGGGACCGGAGAAATACGTCGAGATAAACGGGGTCTCCGAGTTATAAGAGTTCGCGATAACGATAAAAACGTAAAAAAATCAATCATTGAAGATCTTACGGACCACTTAAAACTTTCCTCCAGTGATGATTTAAACAAAACAAAAATCGTTTTGGTTCTTAACAGCAAATTAATCAAAGAACTGTGAAGGAATTCATAAGTTTGTCAACAATAGGCATCTGTATTGAACTAATTTCATCCACCACAAATATTGTATTTTAAGTCTAGTTATTGATAATTTTAATTGATACAATTAAAGATTTGTACACATGTCTGTACGCCTCGAACGAAACCCTACACAGATCTATATTACATCGTAAGATTAAATAAGGGAGCGTATCGTGCACATATATGCCAGCAGCTTAATACAATGTTTCGTCATCATATATAGGGAAAGTGATAACTTTGAACGCCGTCAAAGATTGATTTGTAAATAATACAGGGCGCCGTATAAATGGTGTATATAATTAAATCAATTAAATTGATGAACGGATTGTAATATCATCTGTGATAAAAACAGAAGCAGAGACAGAGGAGTGTTGACAAAGCACCGTCTTATTGTATACACTAGGTTAGCAGGCGACGAGGATTACTGCGATGCCAGTACTTTTAGTGTTAATTACTGGAGTAAAAGGGACAATTCTGTCGTACAGTACCAGTATAAGGGATGCTGATTGTGGGGGATCAAAGAGACAATCCTGTCTTACAGTAAACGTACTATTGATGTTAATTACGGGGGATGTAAGGGACAACCCTGTCTTACAGTAAAATTACTATTGATGTAATTACGGGGGATGTAAGGGACACCCCTGTCTTACAGTAAAAGTACTATTGGTGTTAATTACGAGGGATGTAAGTGACAACCCTGTCTTACAGTGAAAGTACTATTGATGTAATTACGGGGGATGTAAGGGACACCCCTGTCTTACAGTAAAAGTACTATTGGTGTTAATTACGAGGGATGTAAGTGACAACCCTGTCTTACAGTGAAAGTACTATTGATGTAATTACGGGGGATGTAAGGGACAAACCTATCTTACAGTAAACGTACTATTGATGTTAATTACGGGGGATGGAAGGGACAACCCTGTCTTACAGTAAAATTACTATTGATGTAATTACGGGGGATGTAAGGGACACCCCTGTCTTACAGTAAAAGTACTATTGGTGTTAATTACGAGGGATGTAAGGGTCAACCCTGTCTTACAGTAAAAGTACTATTGGTGTTAATTACGAGGGATGTAAGGGTCAACCCTGTCTTACAGTAAAAGTACTATTGGTGTTAATTACGAGGGATGTAAGTGACAACCCTGTCTTACAGTGAAAGTACTATTGATGTAATTACGGGGGATGTAAGGGACACCCCTGTCTTACAGTAAAAGTACTATTGGTGTTAATTACGAGGGATGTAAGGGTCAACCCTGTCTTACAGTAAAAGTACTATTGGTGCTAATTAAGGGGGATGTAAGGGACAACCCTGTCTTACAGTAGAAGTACTATTGATGTTAATTACGGGGGATGTAAGGGACAACCCTGTCTTACAGTAAAAGTACTATTGATGACAATTACGGGGGATGTAAGGGACAACCCTATCTTATAGTAAAAGTACTATTGATGTAATTACGGGGGATGTAAGGGACAACCCTATCTTACAGTAAAAGTACTATTGATGACAATTACGGGGGATGTAAGGGACAACCCTGTCTTACAGTAAAAGTACTATTGATGACAATTACGGGGGATGTAAGGGACAATCCTGTCTTACAGTAAAAGTACTATTGATGTCAATTACGAGGGATGTAAGGGACAACCCTATCTTATAGTAAAAGTACTATTGATGTAATTACGGGGGATGTAAGGGACAAACCTATCTTACAGTAAAAGTACTATTGATGTTAATTACGGGGGATGTAAGGGACAACCCTGTCTTACAGTAAAAGTACTATTGGTGCTAATTAAGGGGGATGTAAGGGACAACCCTGTCTTACAGTAAAAGTACTATTGATGTCAATTACGAGGGATGTAAGGGACAACCCTGTCTTACAGTAAAAGTACTATTGATGTTAATTAAGGGGAATGTAAGGGACAACCCTGTCGTAAAATTAAATTACTAATAGCGTTAATCAGGGGGACTCGAAGAGACAACCCTGGCGTACAGTAACTTTACTAGTGCTGATAACGAGGATCTAATGAACAACCCTGTCATAGAATATCAGTACTAGTGATGTCAATGGCATTGCTCTAAGGGATACCTTCTCATACAGTTATAGTACTATACAGTGGTACATTCGTACAGTGGTATTACTAGTAGTGTAATAATACTATAGAGATGGAGATGGAGTGTCCTAAAACACAGACCTGTCCTACTGTAGTATTACCAATGGTGTTATAATATTATAAATCGGGAGTGTCCTAAAAGACAGCCCTGTCGTACAATAGCTGTACTACGGGTATCAGGCACGGTCGCCCTGTCATTGTCAGAACGGTCCGATAGTGTCACCAATCCGCACTTTATTTGAAGGAATAAAACCTTAAACTTGTAATTACCGAGATCTCCGCCACTCATACCCGACGTAAACATGGTAGTTTACTTGTTATAAAAACACTGGAGTACAAATTACCCTTGCTTGATTAGAAAATGGCATTTTTGACAAAATCGAAAGCTGGAGCTGTCACCGACATGACCTGAAAGTGGACAGTGAAGAGCCATCCAACGATGAAATGTACATTCGCGGTCGCGTGCTGGACGATGATTGGTTGAGATCAAGTGGTCTCCGCCTTCCGTTGGCGCGTGCCGGTACAGAACATCGCCCAGATACCACATGTCACGCGCATGGAACAATATTTTGTTTTAATTCTAAGATCTACACATCAGTATCAACCAACAATATAGCAGACGTTCACTGATTCATTTATAATGTTGTAAAGAGTGGTTGTCAGTTTTTATCATTGCGTTAATATTGATAGTGAAGTTTATTGTGTGGACAACATTGGCAGCTAACTTTTACGTCCTAATTTCTGTAAACAGTTAATAGTAAATTATTTGGTCTGATTTTAACCATGACCTGTCAAACGTTATTCTATAAGAACATCCCGAGTTCTAAATCTTGTGATTTATGATGCAAAACTTGTGACCTTTTTTGTAATAAATCTCAAAATGGTATGTAGGTTCTAAATGGTAGAAAATATTATTTGCATTCAAAAGCGTGTTATTAGGGATTTGTAGTTTATATTTGAACAATTTGCGATTTTTTATTCAAAATATTGCGTTTACATTTGAAATCTTGTGAATCATCATATGATACAAACAATCTTGGAAAAAGGCGATGACCACGATCAGATTAGGCACAATTCCATATTAGACAAACAACGCCAGTTTACTTTCATACAGAACATGGTTAATTAAGTGAGCAAGTAGAACAGTTCCAAATATATTTCACAAGATTTGAATATACACCACACTGCTTTTTAATATGGTTTTACGAGATGTTCCGAACTTTTATATATCAAGATTCCGAATGTACAACACGAAATTGATACTAAATGAAAAAAATAGTGAGGAAATAAACCGCTTTACTAGGAAAAATAAGCACAATTTTAAGAAAATAAATTACAAGATTTCAAATTCACAAGCATTTTCTTCTTGATCGTTGGATCGCATTTTCAAATTAGGTAAACTTTGTAATTCAGTCGTTATAATTCCATATACTGATGAGTATACAGAAAGAACTACTAAGAAAACCCTTTACGCACTTGTCTCAATGTAATGTTGTATAGGTCTCTGTTTTTATTTGTTAAAATGCCGAAAGGTGGTGACACCGCAGACTTAGAATCTGATTCCTTGGTGACAAGTAGATGGACGGGTAGTTACATGGCAGGTATCCTCTTCTTTGTACAAATGTCAACTCTACATCGGTTACTTTGTCGAGAGGTCGTTTGATACAGAAGGTTTTGGGTTACTTCAGATCCGTCCGGGATCAAGGGTTTCAAACCTCGCGCGTGTGGGGCTAAGCCCAAAGCCAAACACTCGAGCCCACCGGCCACGTATAGAGGTGGCTACTCTCTGTCTCGTGTTACGGCCACTGGTCCAGCCGGCAGGACTGGTCAAACAGTGCCGCTCTAACTCCCGTCTCCGGTCAATGGTCGGACAATAGTTCGGTGAAAATGACAATTTCACAAATCTCCGGAAGACAAACGATCTCAAGTGATGTCAAATACGGAGAATGTCGCCCAGTTACCGATAGGGTGTGGATTCATTTGTTATATTGATGGATCAACTTTCATAAGGAAGAATCTTACAAATATTTACAGTAGGAAACCATTTAAATTTTATGTTATCTAAAAGTGTTTGTACTATTAATCAGTTTGTGTAACATTTTCATCACCAGGTGAGGTACAAGAATGACACGATCTGTCTCGATATTGAATCAACCAATGAGCGACTCCAAAAGATCGAATCATCCAATCAGTGGCTCAGTCACGTACAGCCGGCACGAGACCGACACGAGCAGAATTGTGAATTTTATCGTAATGAAAATGGAGAGATTTTACTTCGAACTTTAAAGAAGGTGGAGAGTGGAGAACAGCTACTAGCCTGGTACAGCGAACAGTTGGCACGAGAATTTGCCATTCCGTTTCTAGGACTTCACAATATACTTGGTGAGTTGAATATTTTAATACTCGCTACGTCACGCATGTATATTAAAATACAAGTTTAACATTTTATTCAGATTATAGTCTGCACATGTTTAATACAATAAGTTAAAAAAAATCAATTGCAAAATTGAACAGAACGGGTTGAACGAAAGTTTTACCAAGTTAGTAAGTCCTCTTTGTCGTACGATTATCGTACACAGAATATATAAATCTTATACAAAAATCGAGTTGTTGTACTTAATTAGATTTAAAAGACACGATAGATTCCTATAATCACCGTAAGTATGTGTAATAATAATAATAATAATAATAATAATAATGTAGCCTCTATTTTGTTTGTTAAAGTGGTTTTACGTCCTCAGTCTCAGTTTGTCTTTGTTCACGTCCTTATTACCCCAGTTATTGTCCTTAATTAGCGATGTACACTTCCTCTATCGTGGCCGTCGATTAGTTACTAATATAAGGTCTAATAGGATCACGTATTACGTATCAATTATATTGAGGTTGAATCAAGGTAAAATGCTGCTACAAATGGACAAAGCGTCATCTATGAAACACTTTGAATCCATTCGTTATACACAACGACACAACGACACAAACCCCCCCACAAAAGTCATACATTAAATACCACACAATAAAATTACAATAGTCATACATACATCACCACACAATACAATCACAGTAGTCATACATACATTATACATACATAATTACCACCTAATAAAATCACAGTAGTCATGCATACATTATACATACATAATTACCATGTAATAAAATCACAGTATTCATGCATACATTATATATACATAATTACCACGTAATAAAATCATAGTATTCATGCATACATTACCACACAATACAATCACAATAGTCATACATACATAACCACACAATAAAATCACAGTATTAATACGTACATTAAATACCACGCAATAAAATCATAATATTCATATATATATTAATTACCACACAATACAATCACAGTATTAATACGTACATTACCACGCAATAAAATCATAATATTCATACAAGCATAATTACACAATAAAAAATATAAAATTTACAAAATTTATACATACATTACCACACAATAAAATAACTTTATATAAAAAAAAAACATCAACACACAATAAAATCACAATATTCTTGCATACATAACCACACAATAAAATAACACTATTTATACATACACTACTACATAATAACTTACTATCATGCATATATATATATATATCATCTTTATTTCCTTCAAATTGGAGAGCATGATACAGTCCATTATCCAGTTTCGCTGATATACATGACATCGATTCTTTACGATTACTGTGGAAATATGGTTATATTTCAAATTTATGTATCGCAAAACTGTAAAACAATTATATAGTAGGTCGACATCAAACTAAACGCTACATAATGTTTTGATCGATCTTCTGTGTTATGCTTATTTTAGAACTTGATTGACTGAATATTTGTATTGTCTTACTTAGGTAACCAGCAATACGTGTGTGACAGGTGTGGGCAAACGTACACACACCCCAACCCACTGAAGCTTCACCTGGTGACCCGCTGTAACAAGGGACTGACCACACCCACTAAATCGTCCAGTATGCCGGACAGGGACATTCTGTTCAGACCCTATCTTGAGTGCAGCTGTCCTAACAGTAAACCAGACCGAGTGCCACCAGTTCCTGGTCCCAGCCACACACATCGTCAACCTTATCACAGCCACTGCGTCACCAGGCCGCTGCAACATGTGACAACATTAAACAGATCCAGTGCAATTGGTCAGCAGCAACTTAAGCGTGTGTTTCCTTCCGAAAATCTTCGTCCAGTCAATCTATCATTGAAGGAATCGCATGGAAAATCGAAGATAACCTTCCACGAGAGTCCGTTCCTCCGGCCAATACAGATTTTCAACCACGGTCAGCCTCAGGTGTTTCCCTTTTCAATGGGAACGATGACGTCACCACCGTACAGGTGCTGTGACGTATGGGCCCCATACAACGCCATATTGTCCCATCACCATCACCACCAGCAACAACACTCAACTCTCTGGGCAGGTAGACAAACAAGTTCTCATGCGCAACAGTTAGCAAACAACAGACAAAGCAAATGCCGGGGCAAACAAACAGCTGTCAATCTTCCGGTTCCGGTTGCGATGCCGTCTGAAGCGGACGGAGAACCGTTGGACTTACTTCCGAAGTCATTTTTTGCAAATAAGTCAAAGAAAGGACACTATTGTATATATTGTGGGAAACTTTATTCACGAAAATATGGTCTTAAAATTCACCTGAGGACCCATACAGGCTACAAACCATTGAAGTGTAAGGTTTGTTTGCGACCTTTCGGCGACCCCAGTAATTTGAATAAGCATATCCGTCTTCACGCACAAGGTGAGACACCATATCGCTGTGACTATTGCGGAAAAGTTCTTGTTCGGAGGCGAGATCTCGAGAGACATATCAAATCCCGCCATCCGAGTGCTACAGGGAGCAATTTTGTGATGTCACGTGACTATTCAACAGATATAGACTCGCCATCAGCAAAACATGACAATGACCAGGAGATCGTGGTCGTGTAAAAGCGTGTCTTCTCCGGTGTTCTTCAGCTTTAACTTGACTTTTTGTGATAAACTGTCTCCATCCATATGGTATATATAAAGGTATCTCATTATCACTTGTATATGTTACTTGTCGAGTGCATACACGTATCTATGTTACTTGTCACGTGTATACATAGGCGTATGTTACCGGTTATGTATCGTATTTTACCTGTTATGTGTATCACACATATATGTGTTACCTATCACGTGCATACACGTACATGTATTTTACGTGTCATATGTATGCTACCTGTCACGTGTATATACACGTATGAATGTTAGTTATCACGTGTATACACGTGTGTTTGTTACCTGTCACGTGTATACACGTATGTATGTAACCTGTCACGTGTATACACGTATGTGTGTTACCTGTCACGTGTATATACGTATGTATGTAACATGTCACGTGTATACACGTATGTGTATTACGTGTTACGGTTAAACACGTAAGAATGTTAGCCGAAAAGTATGCGTTGGTAGGATTATTGTCATACGTGAATATATATGAATAAATATTACCACTCAAATTATTGCTCCATTGTTTTTCCGTATCAGTCCTAATAGAACGCCAGTATTTCAATTGTTTTGTTCATGGACTTACAAAAGTAATATTGAAAACCATGGTATACTGGTACTTATGACAACGAGTTACACAACTTGTTTTCATATTGGCCTAAACAGGAATGGCAACAGCTACTTATTTTATATTTTCGCACGGAATTAGATTAGATTTATCTAAGTCCGTGATTTTCGTGAATAGTCATTGATAAACAAAAATGTTTATATACACATTCATGTCTGCATGTACCATTATAACAAAGGTGTATAATTAAATAAATTGTAATGTTCGAAAACTGAGGAGCAATAAATATAATGTTCGAATACTGAGGAACAGTAAATTGTTATGTTCGAATACTGACGAACAGTAAATTGTAATGTTGGAATACTGAGGAACAGTAAATTGACTACTGCTCGGCAAAAGATATTAGAAAGATGACTGTTGTATGGTGTATACTCTAAGAAAAGTTATTTTGTTTGGTGAAAACCATTAGAAAAGTTACTGTGAGAAAATGTATTATACTATTTAAAAAGTAACCAATATTTGGTAACTATAAGAAAAGTTACAATGGTTCAGTAAAACTGTCAGAAAAAATGTTATTACTGATTCGTAAAATAATATGAGAACTAGATGATGTTTGAAGTCATAAGTATGCACAGACTCCTGCTTTAATAAAAATGAAGCTTAACGCAAAGTTAAATGCAAAGTTTGACCAAAGTCAGTGATGAGTAAAATACAGGTCACGGTGACCTACATTCGATATTGGCGCATATCCTACGCCACATGAAACTTAACTTATTACTTACAAGATCCTAAAAAGAAAATTATCTGGCATTTCAAACCACAAGTTCCGAAAAAACGCTATCGTCGGCAGTGACAGTAAGAACTGGGGAGTAAAGGTAAAATACTACATGTAGCTCTACCCATTGGCTCGGTCCATGTGACGTGTCATGTGATGCAATGACTTAACTCCTGAAACTATAGTCCGGTTAAAATTATTTACAACATCTATCCTTTGATTCAAAAACAGTAGCATTTATTGTAGCTTTACTTTTGTACATGGAAAGCGTTAATAACGATAACACATACAAATGTGTCGTTCGTTTTACTGTACTTTGATTAAATTTACCATGCATCGATAAGAATTAACGTGCATTTAAATAAAAAAAATTGATTGGCTTAATTTGGGAAACATAGAAATGCTCGACACAGCTGGCAGTTAATGTAAACCATCCACAGATCTGCCATTAAAAACTGGTCCACTTATTGACTGAATCCTGAGAGACAACATTAATTGATTGAGTCCGTACTGGTTGTGGAGGTATTTGTACCTGTACTATCTCCTCTGTTCAGCGAGTTGTATACACTCTGGTGTGAGAGGTACCCCGCATGCGCGGAAACTGGTATGTGCGAGTTTGCAAAAGAAGCCAACATGGCGGGGTTGTGCATCATCCGGTTTGTCATGATTGGTGGTATTTGTCCAGGGTAGGGGAGAGGCATGGGGATAAACATACTGAGATCCCTCGCAGTTGGGTTACAGCCCAGGCGCTGAGCGAGGGACGTATGCGCCTGTGGGATGGATGGCGTCGGCATTTGAGCGCCCCCGGCGACGGTTACTGATATGCCTGCCGCGGCCAGACCTGGCTGGAACACAGTCAGGGTGTCCTCCGCCCTACCCCTCGCTATTGTCGTGGAGGCGGCCTGTACGGCACCAGAGAATGATTGTGATGACGCCGCTGGGGAACTTCTCTGAATTTCTGGGTCGACTGGTGTGTTCACCGGGTTGCTACTCCTCGCGTGCAGATCGCCGTTTGTTTGATATGCATGGTTACCGACAATATGGTTGCTGTTGGTTTGGTAGTTCTTTGGTTGGTGGCTGTGTATTTGGGTTCCAGTTCTTTCGTTGACCTCTCGGCTGCCATCCCCCTGACTATTAACTAACGTGATACTTTGGCATGGCTTGTTTAACTTGCAGGATGGTCCATGTATCGAATCACTTGAAGCATAACGTTTCCGTTTATTTGATGGACACGGCCATGATGGTTTATCTCCTTGAGTTGATGACGCGTTAGTCTCGGTCGGATTTGCCGCTTTGTTGGTTTGACTAGTTAGACGATCTGTAGGTGTACTGTCAATGGGTTCTTCCACATTCTTCTTTATAGCTGTACACTTCTGAGATGGCTCCGCGACCGACGAGCCTTTCTTGGGGGCTGTGGAGGCGGTGACTGTGATTGGACCGTCACCCGACATGGCGCCTGGCGACAATGTGATGTTCAGTGTGATGCTGGTCGTAGTAAGGTCCATCGGTGTGACGTCATCAATTTTGTGTTTATTGGAAACATCTCCGTCTTTAGATGTTGATTCTTCACACTGGATTTCACCTGTAGAACAAAAACAAGTATTTTTGAGCTACTCTTTACTATTACCAAACCGAAAAAAGACCTGGCTCTTAAATGATCGATAAGCTATTATAAGATAGTATATTCATAAACCAAAATTGCGTAGACCAGATTAAAGACCTGTGCCTTTTGAATTTCGTGAAATTGGTCACTGTACATATCAAAATATGTAATTATTCCCTTAACTTGAAAGAGTTATTTAAATTTCAAATCATCAATAATCTCTCTGATGACTATATAAAGCCATTCAAAAAGGTTTTACTATCAACTAGCTAACAACCTGTGCTTGAGTCCTGGTATATCTGGATCCGCTTCAGCCAAGCTCCAAATCCTGCCAAACTTCCGGGATCAAGTGTTTTCAACATTTCCCGGAATTTGAACTTGGCGTCTTGGACTGCCGCCATTACGGAGACGCTCAACGTAGCAGGATTACCTTTAAAATAATGAAATAATCAATTATGTAAGTGGACAAAAGATTCGTTTATATTTTACTGATTTTAAAGAAGTTGTGAAATAAAAACATTTTTTTTTTGCGATCATTTACATTTCGACGATTGACAAAGTACATTTGGTATGAATTGTGAAATACTGATTTCTACAATATAACTACGATAAGCTAGTCTCCATTGGTTCTAGTGACAATACATAGGAACGTTATCGTACAACATCGTACAACACACAATGTGTGTCATTCAACTTGTGCCATATCTTCAGACCTATATTAAGAAACCGTCCTTGATATCCAACAGATTCTAAAGTTCTCAGAACGTCGGAAACGGGTTATCAGATAGCCGTCCCGATAACATCCGGGGCGAGGTGCGGTGAGTACAGAGACCCTTTCACCTCGCCACAAGTATATCCCCCTGACAGTATCTAAACCCTCCGAGCCACAAGGGGATGATATGCTGTGTTGTCCTATCGTCTAGATACCAGCTCGAAATACCATCGTATAGCTATACGCTGTTCTTAAAAATTGTGTGCTTTTAAACATATCTGTAGCCATTATATCGATCGTGCTACTTATTCTCAATATTACATTATAATATTATCAAACGCTTTGCAGTAAGAACAACCCGAGCTAATCGGACTACCGCAGCAGTGATCCGATTGAAAACACACATAATATTTGTAATAGAAATATACACAAAAATCTAAATTTCAGTGGTTTTAACATGCTCATCCACTTACGTAACAATCTATGCGAAATGTCTGATTGTCTGTGTCTAGATATATAACCTACAGTGGACATTTAAAGATATTGTCTACTGGTAAATACTAAATAGCATTTCAGTTAAATAGCTGTACCCCTTTTCTTGCGTGCACCACTGGTGATAGGTTTGTGCAAACTTTGGGTCAGAGAAAACTGTAAATAATGGTCCGTTTCAGAGATATTCACTGGGTAAAACATTTGCTATCTCGTTAAATACATGGTTATAAATGTGAACCTTTTAATATAGAACGATTGAGGTTTTTCGTTGGTTTTTGAACAAACAAAAAATTGTATTACAGGTTTCACTCGGCGTCCGGCTTAGGTTTGTATTTGAAAGAGATAAAGTTGTAAAGAAAAGAAAATGATATCGAGAAAAGGATTCAAGGAATGATTCACCTTTTCAAACGTATAAAACGTATTAAAAGACAATTGCAATGGAGAGAGCCAAAATAATAAGACTGCAAGTCAAAGAATGTGAACATGATAAGATGTATTTCGTAAAGCTATAACATTTATTCAAACAGGTATCACTCGTCACGTAAAGCTGTACCATTTAGTCAGACAGGTATCACTCGTCACGTAAAGCTATAACATTTAGTCAGACAAGTATCACTCGTCACGTAAAGCTATACCATTTAGTCAGACAGGTATAACTCGTCACGTAAAGCTATACCATTTAGTCAGAAAGGTATCACTCGTCACGTAAAGCTATACCATTTAGTCAGACAGGTACATGTATCACTCGTCACGTAAAGCTATACCATTTAGTCAGACAGGTTTCACTCGTCACGTAAAGCTATACCATTTAGTCAGACAGGTAACACTCGTCACGTAAAGCTATACTATTTAGTCAGACAGGTATCACTCGTCGCGTAAAGATATAACATTTAGTCAGAAAGGTATCACTCGTCGCGTAAAGATATAACATTTAGTCAGAAAAGTATCACTTTCAACGTTTAAAGAGCGGGCTGAGAAACATACCCATGTGCTTAACTGGCACACTGGTGCTGGGGGCGGGCTGAGAAACATGTCCCTGTGCTTACCCGGCCCACTGGTGCTGAGGGCGGGCTGAGAAACATGGCCCTGTGCTAACCCAGCCCACTAGTGCTGATGGCGAGCTGAGAAACGTGTCCCTGTGCTTAGCCGGCACACCGGTACTGGGGCGGGCTGAGAAACATGTCCCTGTGCTTACCCGGCACACTGGTGCTAAGGGCGCGCTGATAAACATGCCCATGTGCTTACCCGGCACACTGGTGCTGAGGGCGGGCTAAGAAACATGTCCACGTGCTTACCCGGCACACTGGTGCTGAGGGCGGGCTGAGGTACATGCACCTATAAATCGTCTACTTACCCGGGACTTTTGCTCCTGTTGTGGGCGGTATGTACTTACCCTGTGAATTGATGTTGAGGGTAGGCTGGGGAATATCCATGGGAGATCGAGACCGCGTGTCACTACTAATAGAGATACTCCGGGAGAATGTTTTGGACTGTGAGACAGGAAGCTGTAACCGCTGTATCTTCAAGTCATCATCTTCTTCCTCCCGGGACCAGCTGTCGGGTAGGGTAGCGTTTGGACATTTTTCAACATATCCTGGCTCCTCCTTGATTCTGTTTAAACTTGAATTAAACAATGGCGTGCTTTTCTCACTTTCAGTTTTGAGTGATTCTCTAGCAGAATGGGAAAAAGACACAAACGCGTTAATGTTTCGGTCAGCTTCCGGTGACTGTGATATGTAAGTCAGTGTGTTGTGCGATGTGGGAGATCCGGATGAGGAGGGTAAGTGGGTCGTGTAGCTCTCGGACAGTAAGGACTCGGCCGGGGGGTTGAGCGCGGCACGGGGGAGGCCCGTGATGTCGCGGATCATGCGGACAAGATCACTGAGTTTGTTAACGCCCATAGCGCATGTCCGATACCATGCCTGCACGGGGGACGGATGGAGAGTTGTTATACCAAGATAAAATGGCGAGTTTTCGTGCTGCATATTTGGAGGTCGTTTTTGGCTGTAGAGTTTGTATATTCCGACTGGATCTCGCTCGGGTACCTCTGGTTGAGCCCATATACAAAGCTTCGTGTACGATGAACGACATTGCTCGGGCTTGGCAGATGTGGTGTTGGTGGTGTTTGCGGTAGTTGCTTGTGTGTTTGAAGAGGAGGTGGCGCCATCGATCTGACCACGGCTAAGGATAGGCTCATATAGAATATATTCCTTCCCGCTCTGGTCCGCCCGAAGTTTAATATCGCCCCAGACTAGGTTCTTGTGGTCTATCGCCTTTCGCAAACGGAAGTGGACGATGAACATGAAACACATACTGTTAATGATAGACATTGGTGTGTATGGTCCCATCTCCCGTGCGGTAAACAATTGGTTGACCTTGTCCAAAGTCACTTTGCCAAAGGGTTCATTGGGTTTTTTGCTGCCCTTACCAAGCTCTCGTAACCTCTGTTGCTTGTATTTGAGCGCGTGTCGTGTGTTTACGAAAACCACATCGCGGGTAACAGAGGCCTGGTAGCTCTTCATCTTCAGATACCGCTCCACGCTACAAAGCATGCCCCTCAGACTGGCCGGCTCGTACTCATTCCCGTCGTGTTTTTTGACGATAGTGAAGAAGTTAGATAGATACCTGTCAAGTTCCAGGGGAGGAATCGTCTCCGGCGGTCGGGAATCGTTGAGAGATCTGAGATAGGCTATCAAAATCCGAATGTCCGTGTCAGTCTTACGTTGGGTATTCCGGTTTTCCATGTTGATGCCAAGGTCGTCTTCCGTATCCGGCCCTCCATAATCGGAATAGTTACCGATGCCAGAGCTACTGGGGTGAGCATGCTCCTTACGTGCAGAAATCCCAGACCATAAGCGATGGTTTTCTGTCATCACATTTTCTTCAGTAGAATCGTCTACCTGGTCCTCGTCGCTGTCTATCGCCAATGAGTCGTCGTCTGAGTCATTGTCTGTCCTACTTTCGTTGACTTTCTCCATTTCAACACATTTTCAAACAAATAAAAAAGAACCACTAATAGATGTTTAGTCGTCCTCGTCGTAATAGTGACAGCTCTTAAATGGTATCGTACAAGTACCAAAGGGGAGGTAAGTTAGAGAGATAACGTTTAGTGCCGATATTGGTCGTATTGACTGATAGCCCGCGGGTTATACAGATAAGGCGCTCCTGTACTGTATAATAACCTCAACACACGATAACAAATCCAGACCGTTGTATCAAATACATAAAAATTCTCTAAAAGTGTTTTTTTTCTTTTTTTCTCCTCTTAGGCAAATTATGAGCCAAGTACCAAATATGCGAACTAAATTAATATCTACATCATGTTAATTAGTACTGTATCCTTCCCAATCAAACGATATGCTACAAAATCACAATATATAGTGACTCAGCTGAGCCCCTATTCATGAAACCGTTCTCCTGCTCAAGCATGGATCCTGTGCTCAAACCAACTTTCTTGTAACTCGATTAAATCATGTCAAACGATCAATACGTCAAATGTAAACATTGAAAACAGTATTTAAGTTTAAGTCTCAAAGAAAGACTTATTTATCAATTTATAACCAGAAGAAGAAATTAGGCTTGAGCACAAACTCCATGCTTAAGCATGAGAACGGTTTCATGAATACATGCCCTGGTCGTATGATTTCAGAATAGTTGAAATCTTCCACTGTAAGACACATCTAAAGCCTTGAACTGTTATGTGTGTATCTGATATATTTAGGTAGGACTGTCCAGTAGACAGACCCATTCACACTGTGTGTCATTTCCAAGTTACGTGTGTGTTATCTAAAAAACATTGTAGTTACAACAGTTCGTCGGAACATTGTGGTTATCTGACGACTTAACGAAGAAATAGGACTTCAAACTTTAAATGCTAACTCATGTCATTAGCATGTGACGTGTAACATGGGTTTGCCACCACATCAAATGTTATCATATTTAATATAAGCTGCTGTAAACCATACATTAAAATGTTAAGAATTATTTCTGTTTGTAATAATATATTTTATTTCCTTTCATGTCTCTTGGACACCTGTTAGTTATGTGGCCCCGTCAGACCGTCCCCTGACCTGACCTCTTGGTCGGCGAGGGTGTGATATCTACAGATGACAGTATACTCACGGCACGATACTTATCGGAGAGGTCCTGATACGGGAACTCCCGAGAGCTTGTATCCTCTATATTAGGCCAGTATAACTCTTGAGATAGTACAGTCGTGGTTTCCTATCTATCCCCTACTCGCTCCCTAGTAGTGCATACTAAATGTTGTTTCCTTTACAGTTTTTGTGTATTGGGGAATCTAACCCAATGTGATGCACTGACGTTCTGTTCTATTCCACATGCACGTAATACGAAACGAACTACGTCCAGATACACGCGTTTTGTGAACGAAGGGAGGCAACTCGTACATGTTGTGTGCACAGCATTTATTCATCCATTCGAGTAATGGGATTGAAAAACAGGCTAGGCCGATGTTGCATTCTGGATTTAAGTGTGTAACTTTGTTTAACAAAATCATACAAAGAATTTTAATTGGCTTAAAAAAGCATCTAAATGTGTATGCTTCATGCGTTTTAGACATACTTTATTATCTTTCTCGTGATAATTGATTAATTCACCAGGTAGAAAAGGCTAATTTGTGGAAATGGCACTTGTGAATGATGTATTAGATGTAGTTCTACTGTAAGTTTGAAAAATGTAATAAATCTAATGACTTGAAAAAGTATTATAGTTTTAAAACGCTCATAATAATACTAGCTATTGTATGTTGAAATCATGTAATATACTGTATTAATTACTGCTTAGTCCACTTATCACATGACTTCAAGGAAAACCCACTTTTCGATGTAATTTAGTTCGTTCAGAATAGATATTACTCAACGGAAACCTACACACACACACAAAAATGTTATAAAGAATAATGTTTTTTTTCTGTTTCGATTTGTCGGTAACAAATTTTATATTGAATTTTATAAAGTACATGTATAAAGGTTAAAATTGATATAGTAGGCCTATTTAGTTATGCACGTTTTCAACTGGTAAAACACTCATACAAATGACTGCCTATATATATTGTACTGTATAAATCAGCTGTTTTGTATGCATTTTGCATGAACAAATATTATTATTATTATTATTAGTAAAGCCAACAAAATTAGTCATTTACCCCCACCCACCACCCGCCCCTCCCAGATACGTAAATATAATAGATCTACGCCTCTGTCCCCCTACCCCAAACAGAAATAAAAAAAAAAATCAATTTGTTTCAAAATTAAAAAGACACTTCTAGCACGGACTTAGATAACTAATCTAATTCCGTGCTTCTAGTAGGCATAAGATTCCTTTAATTGACACAAACATACTGAAATAACTTTAGTAGAGTACGTATATTTTTTAAACCTATATAATTTACGTTTTGAATAATCATCAAACCTTGCTTATGTGTTGTATATAGGCAACCGATGGTCTGCTGATATATGTTACTGGTCACTTCAGAGTGTGAATGGTCTAATAATGATACAGGTGATATCAACAGGTGAGGAGGCCTGACTGCGGGGCTAGATGTCATCATGACCGCAACTTTCACTGCGCATTCAACTTGCGCATATCAAACCAATATGGAAGACAGCGTTACGACAGGTGTCAGCTGAGACGGAGTATGAAAACAAAACTTTTTGGAAGTATTATGCTTTGATGTTGACTGTTTGTTGCATGGTTTCAACCTTTGATTTTCAAATGAGGTAAACAACAACATTTGTTATCGCTACAAATTCTTTATCCAACCGATGTTGGCTTTGTTATTGTTTCATTCATACGCATAGGAATTTGACTTAGTTGACGAATACTGTAGTAGAGTAGACCCCACTGTAGTAATATTTCGGTTGGGATCAGTCTGCAACATATACCGAATTTCTGCATACTAACAAATCTTAAATAGATTATAACAGCTTTCACTGCAGAATGTATCATTTCGTCAGGTTCCTCCTTTGTCGAATGCCAAAAGTCTTGGTCGGTTTTAACTGTTTAAGGGGTGTGTATCATGGTATGAGGGTGTGTATTGCACTGGAAGTCATGTAGGCCTACTGTGTATGATCAGCATGCATAGGCTACGTAACAATTAACAACCGATTTATGTTGTCTGCGTGATGTTATTTGAATTAAATATCATTAAACTAATCGAATTATGCAACTTAAAATTGTTAAAACTGATTGTCTGCGGTCTGTAATAAGATTTGTTCAGTGTGTAAATGTCATTCCATTACAAGATGAACAAGATGACAAAAGAAGGGAAGTCGTCAGGTCTGTAGTTCAGCACATGCATAACAAGATATATGCGATGTGTAAATATGTGAAATAATGTCTCTTGAAACTGCATGCTTGATCCAGTTTGTTGTTTATAGTGTTACTCTGTTACTTAGGTTTGACCAGTCAATCAAAACATAATGAGGAATCAGTCACTCACTCAGATGATGTAATTGATGAACCAATAAGTTACCAGCTACAATTTCTTGGTTCTCTTGGCACACATTAATTTTCTGTATGACCTGGTATGCATACCGTATTAGGGATGTTTTGGACTTAGCAAAAAATTGATCGCTACTAAGGTTATGAGTATAAGGCTACTTCTTTTAATGTCTATATATTACAAAATTTAACTTTCATAGTAGATTTTATTTGCATTATGTGTTTCAGTTCACAAATTCGCAGCAAGATTATGGAAGTGAGTTTCTGAGGTGTTCACATCGAACTTTTGACAGGGTTGTGATGTTTGTAGTACCATAACATGATGGACACTGGTCAAGTGGTACTTCAAGACCCTCCAAAGAGGGCACCTCCTCTAGGAAGCCCCACCCACACAGCAGTGGCAATGACCCACATCAGTAGTATTAACGGCATCCCGCCACCTCCAACGCATCCTCACAACAGCGACATTACTACAGGCTCAACAATGTTTCCAGTGACAGCAGTGATTCCAGCCAAACCAAAGAGAGCAGTGACAATAAACAACAATACAGTAATTGACAAATCATTACATCAGCAGGTGGGCCAATCTTCCCCTCAAACTCAGGGAAAGGATTCTGCTCCCTGTCGTCTGGAAAATCCATCTGTCCCCAGCACTCTAAAAAGTCATGGTCAGCCCATCACAACCAATGGCAATGTGCAACATGAACATCCCAAAAGGTAAGTACATACGTACTGAGTTATTAGTTTGTACTTTCAGATAGTATTTATTAATGAGGAATTAGAAGTACTAAGAGTATTAACAGGTAGATGAGGCCCAATTTCCTCTTCAGGCCTACATGTTTTCACAACAGCATAGTAATACTGGTACACCATTTGGTTCCTAATGTATTACTAAATAGTATATATTTATATAATATGGCATCTTTATTTGATGTAGTGGAAATGAAGCTTGTTTTAGAATATGAATGTTGAGGGTTGATATTATGGCTGTATATCAAGCCAGTTGATATTATCGCTGTCTATTTATATAATTAGCCAGTATATATTTAGCCAGTAGATATTATGGCTGTCTATTTAGCCAGTTGATATTATGGCTGTATATTTTGCCAGTTGATATTATGGCTGTCTATTTAGCCAGTATATATTATCGCTGTATATTTAGCCAGTATATATTATCGCTGTATATTTAGCCAGTATATATTATCGCTGTATGTTTAGCCAGTATATATTATCGCTGTATATTTAGCCAGTAGATATTATCTCTGTATATTTATATAATTAGCCAGTAGATATTATGGCTGTCTATTTATATAATTAGCCAGTAGATATTATGGCTGTCTATTTAGCCAGTTGATATTATGGCTGTATATTTAGCCAGTTGATATTATGGCTGTCTATTTAGCCAGTATATATTATCGCTGTATATTTAGCCAGTAGATATTATCTCTGTATATTTATGCTGTTTCGGATGTCCACACTACATATACATATGACTGGCACATTTGAGACAGGAAATAAGTCATTATAATGTGGTGGTAAGTTGATCAGCTATCTGGACTAGCTCTTCAGTTACTAAGTGTGGATTGTTATGTAACTGAATGGGTAAAGTTCATTCAGAATGAAATCAGATTATGACTCAATTCTCCACATCATTTGAATGAAATATTAATAGCTACTTTCCATTAAAAAGAAAGGAGTAAAAATGTCCCAGTCAAAATTTTGTGCAGATTGTCCTTGATGCTAATAATATGAGTATTGAACTCCAGTCTCCCATTATAGCACATTTGTAATGTATTTCCATATAGTGTTAATGTCTGCTTTTTAAAGTGAGACAAAAGTAAGTAAGAAATTCTCTTAAACACAAATTCATGTTTAATAAAAATAATTGCAAATACTTTGAAAGCTACAGGAAGACTTCCTTACACAACAGGTCTACCAGTGTAACATCCAGAAAGCTGTTGTAGAGGAGAGATACTGATCAGGCTTATAGACCCTTTAAACAGGCTGTACTTTATTTACATTTAAAGTGGTGAACTATCTTGGTGGCAGTTGGTACCATCCCTCTGTACACAGAACACTAACTGCTACTTGTGCTGATTGATACACAATCATTGCTGTCTAGGAATTACCTTATATATACAGGATTGTAAATTTCACAGCCACTAACATAAATACATGTAGGTCAACGCTGAAGTACATATTATACCTACTGCTATTGATGATTACGAGGCACTTTTAATCAAACTTGTTGCTGTTTACCTTTTTTCCCCTGGTAAAAGCAACAACTGGTATGTTTAATACCAGGTATGCATCAAAACAAATTATATATTTATAATAACGTATTACCTGGAAAATACAATACACATATATATATATGTCTGTGATAAGTACCTGGAGAGAAACAGACATATTACGTATCTGGTAGAAAACAGTTACGCATAGGTTTAACACCTGGTAGGAGTCATTACACATAGGCTTAGCATCAGGTAGGAAACAATACGCATATGTTTAACACCAGGGTAGGAGACAATACACCTATGTTAGCATCAGGTAGGAGACATTACATAGGTTTACCATCTGGTGGAAAACAATACATAGGTTTAACACCTGGTAGGAGACAATACACAAGGTAGGAGACAATACACATAGGTTTAACACCTGGTAGGAGACAATACATAGGTTTAACACCTGGTAGAAGACAATATGTTTAACACCGGGTAGGAGACAACACACATAGGTTTTACACCGGGTCGGAGACAATACACATATGTTTAACACCAGGTAGGAGACAACACACATATGTTTAACACCGGGTCGGAGACAATACACATATGTTTAACACCTGGTAGGAAACAATACATAGGTTTAACACCTGGTAGAAGACAATATGTTTAACTCCGGGTAGGAGACACCACACATAGGTTTAACACCGGGTCGGAGACAATACACATAGGTTTAACACCAGGGTAGGAAACAATACATAGGTTTAACACCTGGTAGAAGACAATATGTTTAACACCGGGTAGGAGACAATACACATAGGTTTAACACCAGGGAAGGAGACAATACACATAGGTTTAACACCAGGTAGGAGACAACAAATGGGTTTAATACCAGGTAGGAGACAATACATATAGGTTTAACACCGGGTCGGAGACAATACACATAGGTTTAACATCAGGGTAGGAGACAATACACATAGGTTTAACACCAGGTAGGAGACAATACATGGGTTTAATACCAGGTAGGAGACAATACATATAGGTTTAACACCGGGTCGGAGACAATACACATAGGTTAAACACCTGGCAGAGACAATACACATAGGTTTAACATCTGGTAGGGGACAATACACATAGGTTAAACACCTGGCAGAGACAATACACATGTTTAACACCTGGTAGGGGACAATACACATAGGTTAAACGCCTGGCAGAGTCAATACACATGTTTAACACCTGGTAGGAGACAATACACATAGGTTTAACACCTGGCAGAGACAATACACATAGGTTTAGCACTTGGTAGGAGACAATACACATAGGTTTAACACCTGGTAGGAAACAATACATAGGTTAAACACCTGGTAGGAAACAATTCAGTATACACATAGGTTTGACACCTGGTAGCAGACAATACACATAGGTTTGACACCTGGTAGCAGACAATACACATAGGTTTAACACCTGTAATGAGGCTACACATATTTTAGCACCTGGTAGGAAGCAGTACACATGTTTAACAGCTGGTGGGAGGCAATATTCATGTTAAAACTCTGTAAGAGACAATTTACATGTAGGTTAGAACCTGTGGGACTAGGAGGTGATACACATATATAAGCACCTAGTAGGAGGCAAAACACATGTTTAAAATTAATAGCAGATAAGAGACCATGCACATATTTACAAGGTAGTACCTTATAGGAGGCAATATTAAATGATAAAGATTTAGGATTGAAATATCTCACCTAAAAGGACAGAATTTGGGGGTAACAAAAGTGTTGATTGCCAATGTATTTGATCCCAAGTTATGTTCCCGAGGTTGGGATATAAATTCTGTCCTACATACTTCATTGATGGTTGAGTTATTTTCTTACATCACTTACCAATTCATTTGATTGTGATGTATAGCCACCATCTTTTGGCAAAATACCGATTTTTAGGACTCGGAGTTTGAAGTCCTTAAGTAATGTCTTTCCTATGGGACTCAATAACTTTTTGAAGACCCACTCTATCTCTTCATAATGGGACTCATCCAAAGTTTGGAAAGGTGTTCAGGACTCACCTTGTTTTAATACACAGCAATAGATATAGATAAGATACTGGAAAGTTCTAGGAAAATAGTTCAGAATGACCTAAAAGTTGTTGAGACATGAACATGCAGACTTCATTGTTTTTGCATTGTGATGTCGACGTCATGCCCATCTAGGATAGATCTTCTTATACATGACTTCTTATCATGGAAAAAAACTCTCGCCATGTATGTAAGAAACATGTTTAATACCTGTACCTGTGTCTAGTAGGTAGATACCTTTATTGATAACTTTGACTGCCTGTATCAGATAGAAGTGTCATTATTAATTATTTTTTCAGCCCCTGCCATTAGTGGAGGGGCCATTTAGTGTTTGTGATATCTTGATTACACTTTGTATTTAGCACCATTGCTACGTAACATTATACGGGTCCAACACTTAACTTCCTTTGTAAATACATCTGAAAGACTTCTATACCAATGTATCAAATGTAGGTCACTGTGATCTAGATGTTCTGCTCAACTGATTTTTAATTTGGTAATATTTTGAATTAAGCTGCATCATAAACAGGAATGAGGACAAAGATGCATGTACATTTACATTTTACAAATATTTTCTGGTACAGTACTTCATGTATTTGATAGATACGGCCTTATTAATTCCTTTTGTAACTTGTAATTGTTCTGTAGAAGCCTGGTCTCTAGTGCCAGTGACAGTGCTGTGCTCGGAAGCTCTCTCTCTATTGGGGTACAGGTGGGCAGTTTCTACGCTGCCCTGGCCATGATGGACACAGAGCAAGTATCAGCCTCCTCATCAGTCTCACCACAAGTTGTAGATATTCTATGATTGTATCTCTGAGGTTACACATGAACAATTATCTGATTATTCAAGATTTTGGTTCACTGTTCAGGGCCATTAATGTAAACCAAAGTGTTATCAATATCCTATATTTGGCAGATTTGAACAATTAAACTAGCCCAATTTATGTTTCCAATGTAAGTTCTAATTTCGCAAGCCCTTGCATACAATGTAGTGTAGTTATACAACCCTACTGTGCAAGTGTGTATTCAACACTGATTTTTTTTTTTTAAATAAACATGTCGTACTTTTCGAAAATGAATGCTATTGTTCAAGGGTACCTAAGAAATACAAGTTGGTGCAAGTGTGGTGAAAGTATTGTCCATGGCTTTGATTCTTTCATAAGTTTATTGATATTCCTTTCCATTTGGCATTTCCTTTTTTCACCTTTGTAGAATTTTTGTTTTAAGTTCAATTTCCTTGGTAACATGGCTACTACCTGTATGTTGTATTGGTATGGTGTTTCTCTGGTGTTACTAGTTTCCTGTAGACTATCCTTTCTTACTTATTTATTTCATACAGTTATAAGGATCCTGTGATTTCATGTACAGGTCTCACCTGGCATTGTATGTTTTCTGTCATAAGTACACTGTACCATTGAGAAAATTATCGGTATTGACTATAAGATTAAGTTTACCAAGTATTAACAAGCCTTGAAGGATCCCTGTACCATAGTCATAAACTGTAAATAAGGATTGGAAACCGTGTTTTCCAGTATGACTATAGCTTTGATAAATCAGTTCTGAAAAGAAAACCATAACCTGCAGGACTTTTAGGATAAAAGTTAAAGATGAAAATAAATATAATAAAAATTACTGCGGGTCTTGAGCTGGATTCAAATCCTGAACTTCAGACTGCTGAACTCGTGCTCGAACCAAATGAGCTACCTGGTCAATAGAAGTGTCCTGGCCCAGTTGTTCTATAAGTATATCCAATAGGAAGTTTAAGGGAGGCTACTGCATATAGGAAAAACCACAGTGCTACGGGACAGGGATCCTTAAGGAAGTTAAAGGGAGGTTACTGCATATAGGAAAAACCAAAGTGCTACGGGACAGGGATCCTAAAGGAAGTTAAAGGGAGGTTACTGCATATAGGAAAAACCACAGTGCTACGGGACAGGGATCCTTAAGGAAGTTAAAGGGAGGTTACTGCATATAGGAAAAACCACAGTGCAACGGGACAGGAATCCTTAAGGATGCTTTAACATTATTCAATAAACAAGACTAAGTTATAAATATTAGTCATGAATAACAATACTCTTAAGTTCTTTTGCAAATTTTTATAAATTTAGCAAATCAAAATCACTAGGTTAAAAGATAAACTTGTAAGGGGTACACTATACATTTGTATACATGCTGAAGTTTTTTCAATTTACTGGATGTGAAATTCTTGATATGTTTCCAAAATACATTCTCATGTATTGCTTACCTTTGTATGTTCAATGTGGTACTTTAATTGGTATACATTTTCTGATAAAGCAAACATCTACATGATTAGGTTTATGTCTTATTTCATTATGGAAACTATTTTTTCATTGTTGTTTTCATAATGTCATTATCATTTGATCTTAATCGGATTATTATTCCCACATCATCAATCCTTTGGGTTTTAGGAGTTATATTGTACACTCATTGTAAAAAGCTTGCATGTTGTGTCGAATTACAATGTAAGCTCCAGTTCTATCAGTTGTTATAATACTTTTATTAGAACTAGGCGTATTAATTATATAAGGCAGCTATTATAATTATATAAGGCAGCTATGAGATATAATTTTGGATTGCTTTGCTATTTGTTATAAACACAGAAGTCAGATATAAACATAAAATTTACATTTTTCTTTCCTTTAAACAGCTTCTTAATGATAATAGGAATTAAATTACTTTTCACAACAAAGGTAGACTATTCTAGGCTTGTTCAGTGTCTTTAAGGGTTGGACTAGATAATACATTAGTCTGTTATTCTAGGCTTGTTCAGTGTCTTTAAGGGTTGGACTGGATAATACATTAGTCTGTAGATGGATAGACTGATAACTGAAGCGTACTCAGAATTGACTGCTAAATCGTTCATGTAAAGGAGTACACTTCAGTCACTGATCTATCAATTAATAGACCAATTTATTTTCTTGTTCAATCCTGGTAATTTCAAAATTAAAAAAGAAAACTGCAAAAACAATTAACAGGTACATTGATTTTTAAGTTGACTAATCAGGGGCCATATTTCATTTTCAGTTCTCCATGTTGCTATGCATGTTCTTATTTTTGTGGTGTGTCATTTAGTCTAGACTGAGTAAACAAAATGAAGTTGTTGTGAAAGGTAGCATTATATTATGTATATATGTTGTCAGGTGTTTGGTATTGCTGTTTGTATTTCTACTGAATAAGACGTATCTGTGCATAATATATAAAAGTCTAGCTTGTTATATAGGTTGCCTCATTGTATATTTAGCTTATACTGCAAGGAAGTTTTAAAAATCAGCTGATTATATTATTGCATGTGCGATGTAAATAAATAAATCTGACTCAGGTCGGGAAGTATATGGTTACCTACATATTTAGGTAACTAAGGTGTGTTAAAACAAAAATATATATACCTGTTGGGGTCATGTCAGTTTTGTTTTGTACCAAGTAAGTGACATACTTATAAAAAAATCTTGTACAGGTCACATGAGGTGACAATTTAAAAAAAAAAGAATCTAGATTAAACTTTACTTTTGTGAGATAGTTTTATACCAGGAAAAGCAATTCAAAATTGTGTATTACCAAAAAAATGAAAAAAAAATGTATCTTCACTTTTGTATTTATTGCATGTTATATATTTGTGGGAGCCTAGGAATTTGACAAAGTGAGTAATTGATCGTTTGTCTCATATAATATATGGTTGTTTGGAGTCCCTGGTCATCAATAAGGAAATTGTTTGTGTCTGTAGAATTAAAGTCTTTTTACTTGTGTAGACAAAAAAGTTGACAGTGACTGATGTTATATTAATGTATGTCCGGGAGTGATCCATATGATGTTACCGTATATAAGTAACTGGTGTAGGCAACAAAGTACCGGCACGCCACTACAACGATTAACCTATATCGGTAATTAGTAACTATATCAGTAAATAGAAAATATCAAATCTTATTCATAAAATGTGGCATTTTTAGGGGCTAACCTCTAACAATAATACGCATGTATGGACACATAGACCAGGACATGGAAAACATCAGCAAAAAACAATAGCGAAACTCAATTTTAACTAAGTTTTTTTTACAAACAACAATAAACAATCTTCACTGATATTATTTACTAAATAAAATTTAAACAACTCAAATCTTTTTACAATCAGAAGAAAAACAAAACATGAACATTCATGTTCCTGCTGCATGTATACGTAGCAAAATAATAAAATATGCATGTGCCCTGCCCTTGTTTGTATGTTCCATGGAATATAATGTAGAATGTAACAGGTCATCATGTTGGATACAGAACTGTTGATTTAAAAACACATGTACACCGAAGCGTGAAGTGCTGTGCTTTTACTGTATTTATAGTTTAGTTGGCAGACTGTCCCTCTAGTGTTTCAGATTAGGAGAATATTATACAACTCATTATATTTATAGGTCATCTACTGGGGTGCTGTCTGCCATCTGTAAACTTTTAACATTTTGTAATTTTACTCAGATCCATTGGTAGAATTTATTCAAAACTTACCAGGAAAGATGCTGAGATGATGCAGGCGTGTCAAGTGTTGTTTTTTTTGGTTGGTCCAATATTCAAAAAGACCATCATGACTGCCATTTTCAAAAACACTTTTAAATCTTCTTGTCAAGTCACAATACTTTATTAACTTGACCATTATAGTGGACCGCTATAGCAATGGTCATCAGTACCCTGCTGTCAACAACTGACCGTTACATTTGTAATCGTTACCTAGACAATACCTAACCTGACCGTCATACAGTGGACATCACTGTAGTCAGTGGTCATCAATATACCTTGCTGTCAACAACTGACTGCTACATCTGTAATAGGTACCCAGACACAATACCTAATTAACTTGACCATTATAATGGACATCACTGTAGTCAGTGGTCATCAGTACCTTGCTGTCAAGAACTGAACATTACATCTGTTATAGTTATCTAGACACATGAACAGTCACTGGTCATTAAAGGTGTGTTTTTATGTCTCATTTGACCATCATAGTGGACGTCATCGTCATACCTCACCGAAGATGTTGATGTCAGACATACCTGACTGACCACAGAGGTGTTTGTATGTCACCTCCAATATGACCCGGGGGTGGTCAACACTACTACAAATATGACCCGGGGATGGTCAACACTACTACCGAGTAGTAGTAAATATGTCATCAAACCCTGACATGCTCAACCAGTTTGTGCATTTAAATGCATGTAATAAATAGGTTGGTCAGCTTGTTTAGAGCTAATTAGCCTACCAGTACAGTTTAGCCTGTTTATCCAGCCACGACTAGTTCAAGTGGCTAATTATATACATAATTACCAGATAATATTTTTGGGGCCAAAATCTTTTTTGTTAACTTAAATGATTTGCATACAGTTGTGAAGTTTGATTTACAGGCAGTTATAAAAGTTGATTCAGATATATTTGTAAGGAAAATGCTGATAATTAACATTCACAATAGTAAGGGTTGGTTCACATAGAGTTTTAAAGGATGATTCATCTTAGCCCATTTGACAGGTTGGTTCTCATAAAGATTTGAAAGTTGATTCACTAAAGGTTGTAAAGATAGACATCCTGGAGCTGTGACTTAAAACATTTAAGTTAAGTATGAGATGTCAATGTGTGGGTGGTATTTTATGCACATTGTTAGTCAACCTCCTAATAAACTGATATATCAAGTTGGTATGTAACTTTAAGGATTGAACCAAGTGTCATGGGCAAAGTTTTCCTGTGGACTCTTCAGATTT